GATTGTCATCTTATTCGAGAGAAGATCAAACTCGGTTTCATTCGACCAATGCATGTGAAGTCCAGTTTTCAGTTAGTCGATATGCTAACAAAGGCTTTACAACCCTCTGTTTTCCATCAGATGCTTCAACGGTTTCAACTGTCAAGTCTTTTCTATCCTATGGATAGCTCTCAACTTGGGGAGGGTGTATTAGACAACGGTTCGAAAAGTACATGTGACAGTACGGACGACATTAATGCTGGTGTATATGAAACATAGGACATAAACACATAGTCAACTCCTACTTGCTCTCCACCCATATGAAGATTCCACCGACAAACCGTTTTTTAATTTATTGCAAAACATAGTACACATACTTTTTCTCTTGTATATAAAGACCATTGTATTCACTTTTTAATATAATAGGGAAAATTATTCAGAAAATTTCCATCTCTTTATTTTATCTTTGCTCCACCATTGTTGCATAGCTCAATTTCTCTTTCTAAAACTCTGATAACCGGAAGTGAAAAATGGAGAGAATATTCATTCGCATGCAATGCATGCATACGTTTAATTTGGAACTATTTATGATTAAATAATATCATGACAACACAACAGTGAGATACTGCACGGAAACTTTCCATGGTAAACGAGGACTCAGACAAGGAGATCCACTATCTCCTTATCTATTTATTCTCGCCGTGGACATTCTTTCTCGTATGCTAGATAACTCGGCCAGGCATAACAGAATCATGTTGCACCCAAAATGTTGGAATCCTCGAATCACTCATCTGATATTTGCAGATGATGTGATGATATTTAGCAAGGCAGACCCTTCTTCGGTTCAAGAAATAATGAACGTGATTAAGGAGTTCGGTGGTATGTTGGGCCTGCGAATTAACTCGGCCAAATCAGACATTTACATAAGTTCTGTCTCAGAGAATTGTAAGAGGGAATTGTTGGACATTTCGGGTATACCAGAGGGCACCCTACCGGTTCGTTACTTGGGTGTTCCCCTTAGTCCATGGCGGCTCAATGCAAATGATTTCACACCTTTACTAGATAAGATTAAACGCAGAATTTCCAGCTGGACAAACAAATTCCTCTCTTATGCGGGTAAGATTCAGTTGATATCCTCGGTGATTTACGGATTGGTAAATTCTTGGAGTAGTATTTTTCTATTACCTAAGGGTATCTTGAGAAAAATTGATGGTATCTGTTCGCATTTTCTTTGGAGCAACACACAATCTGCAAATGCCACAACGCGAGTTTCTTGGAGCAACATCTGTACACCGAAGGAAGAGGGCGGGTTAGGGCTAAGAAAGCTCAGTGATACTAATATAGTGTTCAGACTGAAGCAAATATGGTCCATATTCAGCAAGAAAAGATCGCTTTGGGTTGCTTGGTTGATGGAAAATCCGCTGAAACGAAGGGGGTTCTGGGGTACCATCGCGAATCAAACACATTCATGGCATATGAGGAAACTCCTTGGATTGCAGGAGATTGCTCGGCCATTTCTAAAGATTAATCTCGGAAATGGAAGATCAACCTCTTTTTGGCACGATTCTTGGACCAAGCTTGGTCCGCTAATCCACTTCGTAGGAGAATCAGGTCCGAGAATGCTGCGAATTGGAAAATACGACAAAGTTTCTCAGGCCTGCAATATGTCGAGGCTCGAAATGATAGAGTGCAGGAACTACAAACAATCTTATCAGCCATTGATCCACCATCAGAGGAACAAGGTGAAGACCTACCTATGTGGAAACAGAACGATGGAAACTACAGCCATTGTTTTCTTTCCAGCGAAACATGGAATCAAATTAGGAGCAGATCCCCAAGAGTGGAATGGTATTTTCTGACTTGGTTCAGGTTTGCTACCCCTCGTCTCTCATTCACACAATGGGAAGCGTTCCTTGCGAGACTACCCACCAAAGATAGGCTCGTAAGTTGGGGGTTAATCCAGAATTCCGTATATCCACTCTGCGACACCAAAGGAGAATCACACCGACACCTTTTCTTCGGCTGCATGTATAGCTCCCAAATTTGGACTAGCCTAGCCCGACTAATTTGGGACGATTCACCGGAGGACCTAACAGGTTGCATTAGTTGGTTCAACAGAGCTGGTAATGACAGAACTAAAAACCGTACTCTTCTAGCAAAGATTCTTCTCCAGATCACGATAGGAGCAATTTAGACGGAAAGGAACTATCGCCTCTTCAGACTTAAACGTAAAGTTGCGACCCAAATTCGACGCAAGGTTCTTACAGCCATGCGGACGACGCTTCTAGCGGCAATTCGGAAAAACCGGTATCGTCATTCCACGCTACTCACTGATTGGTATTATTTAGAGAGTCTCTCCAACGACATCTTTTGAGTTTCCGTTTCAAAACTGTATCCCTTTACAGGGCTTTTGATACCACTTGCTATGGGTTCTTCTCTTATGGTTTTAGATCTACTTTCGGCTAATACCGACTTGTAATCCGTGTTTATATCAATATACTTCACATTTTACCAAAAAAAAAAAACAGTGAGATACTGAGGACATACAACTTCACATACAACTTCACGGTTTCCTCAATGTTGCCAACCTACTGAAAACTCATTCAAGCTAGCCTCAACATATGGGTTTACAGGTATGAATGAATTGTTGGATTTCTTTTATTGAATATATATAGTACTTCGTATTTTTTAAATAAATAAAAAAACAACAACGGGGACATGGACGGGAGAGTGCCGGTGATATAGGGACGAGGGAATGGGCGGAAGCTCTGGGGCTGGACACAAGAGGAGGATACAGAGTGTGGTTCGATGAGAAGGGGGTGGGAGGGAGAGTGACGGAGTTCGACGGAGGGCTGACGATGGCCACTGAGGCTGAGGCTGAATATCGTGCCCTAGCCAACACCACATGTGAATTGGTCTGGTTAGACAATCTGCTGCAAGAACTTGGAAACTCTCATGATCGACCTGTCAATCTCTTTTGTGATAATCAGTCTGTGCTTCATCTTGCGCCTGATTCTATGTTTCACGAACGTACGAAACATATTGAATTAGATTGTCATCTTATTCGAGCGAAGATCAAACTCGGTTTCATTCGACCAATGCATATGAAGTCCAGTTTTCAGTTAGCCGATCGGCTAACAAAGGCTTTACAACCCTCTGTTTTCCATCAGTTGCTTCAACGGTTCCAACTGTCAAGTCTTTTCCATCCTATGGATAGCTCTCGACTTAAGGAGGGTGTATTAGACAACGGTTCGAAAAGTACATGTGACAGTACGGACGACATTAATACTGGTGTATATGAAACATAGGACATAAACACATAGTCAACTCCTACTTGCTCTCGAAGATTCCACCGACAAACCGTTTTTTAATTTATTGCAAAACATAGTACACATACTTTTTCTCTTGTATATAAAGACCATGGTATTCACTTTTTAATATAATAGAGAAAATTATTCAGGAAATTTCTATCTCTTTATTTTGTCTTTGCTTCACCATTGTTGCATAGCTCAATTTCTTTTTCTAAAACTCTGATAGCCGGAAGTGAAAAATGGAGAGAATATTCATTCGCATGCAATGCATGCATACGTTTAATTTGGAACTGTTTATGATTAAATAATATCATGACAACACAACAGCGATGAGATACTGAGGACGTACAACTTCACGGTTTCCTCAATGCTGCCAACCTACTGAAAACTCATTCAAGCTGGCCTCAACATATGGGTTTACAGGTATGAATGAATTGTTGGATTTCTTTTATTGAATATATATAGTACTTCGTATTTTTTAAATAAAAAAAACAACAGCGGGGACATGGACGGGAGAGTGCCGGTGATATAGGGACGAGGGAATGGGCGGAAGCTCTGGGGCTGGACACAAAAGGAGGATACAGAGTGTGGTTCGATGAGAAGGGGGTGGGAGGGAGAGTGACGGAGTTCGACGGAGGGCTGACGATGGCCACTTGGTCCCCCTCGACAAGCCCTTTCTCTCTCTTTCTTGGATTGCAGGAGATTGCTCGGCCATTTCTAAAGATTAATCTCGGAAATGGAAGATCAACCTCTTTTTGGCACGATTCTTGGACCAAGCTTGGTCCGCTAATCCACTTCGTAGGAGAATCAGGTCCGAGAATGCTGCGAATTGGAAAATACGACAAAGTTTCTCAGGCCTGCAATATGTCGAGGCTCGAAATGAAAGAGTGCAGGAACTACAAACAATCTTATCAGCCATTGATCCACCATCAGAGGAACAAGGTGAAGACCTACCTATGTGGAAACAGAACGATGGAAACTACAGCCATTGTTTTCTTTCCAGCGAAACATGGAATCAAATTAGGAGCAGATCCCCAAGAGTTTCCCTCTTCCGTTCCTTTCTCAACGCCCCGTCTCTTCCCTCTCTTCTTTATTGGCTGCATCCTCTCTTTCTTTCTCTCTTCTCCATACACGCACGTACTTGCTCTACTCTGTAATATTATATATATATATATATATATCTACACGAATAAGAATAACATGCTTTGGCTGAATGTACGCACCATAACTAGATATTTTCTTCCGAACAAAAAAAAGGAACGACATTTGGCTAGTTATAAAGAAATGATTTCTCAATTTCTTTCGAAAAATGATCATAATATCCAATTTGGATAGTTAAACCGGTGAAATGCGTATGCAAAGCATCTGTCCCGTCCTGAATTCGAACTTTAAATTGGGGAAAATGACGTATATTCTAATCACATGACTTGTTACTAGTCCCGATATTAGTTTGGACCTGGGTCCGGAACACCGATTACAAAAAATGATCCTCATCCATCAATTAGAAAGGTTTTATTGATTTTACAAAAATGAACGACTTTATAAAATATGTTCTCTCATAGCACGCATTTTTTCTGTCAGAGATTTTTTTAAAGCATGGGGGGTCCGTCATGTACGAATCATATTATCGGGTCAATTTGAGATAACCCAATAATAGTGGGGTCATAACGATATTTCCCATAAAAGTTTTCTTATCCTTAAACCCATAATTCCCACTGTTCCGGCAAAATCATTGTCCCATGGAGTCACTCCTCCAGGCCTCTTCGTCTCTGTGGCCTCTGAGACCTAGAATCCATGGCCGAGATTCCATCTTCAACACGCCTCGCTTCTTCTTCTTTCATACATTCTCCCGCAGAGGATCGAAATCTCTTCCGGTGATTGCTGCGGCGAGGAAGAAGAACAAGAAGGACGACACTCATAGCTTTGTCTCCAAACCTGACGAAGCCACTGGTCCTTTTCCTGAAGCCGTTCTCCTCAAAGAAGTTAGCGTTTCTACACTCTTTTCTCCCATTTTGTTTAGGAAAAGTTGAGGAATTTAACGTTTCTCTCTGAAATTTCGTTGCTTTAATCGGTTTCTTTTTAGTCTTAGGTTAGGTTGGAGGATTCTAGACGAGAATTATAGAAATCTCTGTTTTAGTGACGAGTCTGGGTAGAAACTAGAAAATCGTTTGGTCCCCAATTCAGGTGAAGTTTGGGCTTTAGAGTTAACCGAATCTCATCGGTTCCAAGATTAGTTTATATTGTTTTCATGCATTTCGGGTTCAGATTTGATGCTTTACTCGTTTCTCTTTGCCATTTTTGTTTATTCTCCTTGCAGAAAAGATTACAGGAGGATGGCAAACTAGCTCCCGAGTTTGCCGATGCTGAAGAAAGTAAGTCACTTTAAGACAAAACATTTTTTTTTTGTTGTTGTTGTGCGAATTAGGGTGATGTTTCTTTTTGCTCATTTTACAGAGGAGCTATACGAGTTTTTGGACCTCCAGCTTCAGAGCGACTTGAACGAGGAAAGACGTAAGTCTCTTTTCTGTGTTCTTTTGTCTTCTCCGGAAGCTTTCTTTATGTGTTGCAAGAACAATGTTTAGTTTGAACTGATGAACCAATCTCTTCGTTTATCAATTGAATCTGTCATTGTCCAATCCAAATTCAATACTGATGAACCGATCTCTTTGTTTATCAATTGAACTGATGAACCAATCTCTTTGCTAATGTCCTCTTTGTTAGTAGGGGGGTTACCCTTTGGAATGTGTTCAAACATTTGACCTGCTGATGATACACAGTCTTCTTGGAGATTTATTAGATGTATAGCGTTAACATATTTCTGCAGTTACTTTACTGATTTGTTTTCACTCTATTCTGTATGTACAGAGCGGCACTATGAGGTGGTGTATCTGATTCATGAAAAATACGCGGAGGACGTAGAGAGTGTCAACCAGAAAATACAAGGTAACGTTTCCTGTCTGTCTTTATGTTCCTTCGCATGAATGTGCCTGGTGGTACTTGTTTGGTTAACTTGAATCTAAACCCTGAAACCTGTAACCTGTCTTAAGAAGCTGCATCATATTAAGAAAAGAAACTCGATGAAATTGGGTGTGGTTTATGATATTCAGATTTCCTGATGGAAAAGAAAGGGAAAGTATGGAGATTTAGTGACTGGGGAATGCGTAGGCTAGCATACAAGATACAGAAGGCGGATTATGCACATTATATACTGATGAACTTTGAGATGGAGGCAAAGTACATAAACGAATTCAAGAGCCTGTTGGATAAAGACGAAAGGGTGATTAGACATCTCGTGATCAAACGGGATGAGGCCATCACTGAGGACTGCCCTCCCCCGCCCGACTTTTACAAGGTCCGTGCAAGTGAGGATGATGATGAGTTTGATGATTATGATGAGTTTGAGGATGATGAGGAGTTTGAGGATGATGAGGAGTATGAAGAAGAGGACGGTGATGTTATGGTTTTATATGAAGATGAGGAAGAGGTGGGTGTTGGGGCCGGAAGAGAAAACCGGACTAGTGTAAAAGCGGGTTAAGGTGCAGAACTGTTGGAGTGGATCCACACATAGTCTAGTAGGTGTTATGTTATTAGGTGCTGCTTTACCCGGTTAAGCTGCAAATGAAAGCTGGTTCATTTGGTTTTGGTTTTGGTTTGGGTATTAAACCGGATTCGTTTGAACACAAAAGAATTGCCAGTTCAGAGAATATATATATATATATATATATATACAGTTTCGTTGTTGGTTGATAATAATGATATTTTTTTTTATTGTTTTCCATTTGCAAATCTTATGTTTTAATAAAAATAAATAAATAGATCAATGTACACAATACAATAAGATCAAAATGCCAAACTCATAATGGATGTTAAAGAACATGAAAAGAAGGCCACAACTGCAAAAGAGGAATAATACTAGGGCCTGAGATAAAGATTGCTTCCCCCAAAACTATAAATGTTCTTTGGAAAAAAAACTCATAGCACAACAAAAAAAAGGCTTTAATAATAGTAAGTAGTGAGGGAGGTGGTGGGAAATGGTGGAAGTGCAAAGCGTAGTAGGGGTGGTGGTGGTAGCAGTAGTAGTAGTGTTGATGAACGTAGAAAGAGCCGCAAGTGCAATGGAGGAGTGGAATTGTACTAAAGACGAGGGATTGTTGGAATTTGCGCTGAATTTGGAGTATATGGAGGCGGAGTGGTTTCTGAATGGAGCACTGGGGTATGGTCTGGACCAAGTTGCGCCGAACTTGGCCATGGGAGGTCCCCCTCCCTCGGGTGCCCGCATTGCCAATCTCGACCCTTTCACCCGCGATCTCATTTCTCAGTTTGCTTTCCAAGAGTTTGGCCACTTGAGGTAAACCCTCCTCTCCCTCTGAACCACATCTATCAAACTTTTTTATGTACATATATATAGAACATCATCAGGGCAATAAAGGAGAGGGTGAAAGGGTTTCCAAGGCCACATATGGACTTGAGTGGAGGAGCATTCGCCAAAGTGATGGATGAAGCCTTGGGGATGACATTGGTTCCTTCGTTTGACCCTTACTCCAATCCCATCAACTTCCTCCTTGCTTCCTATTTGGTCCCTTACGTTGGCCTCACTGGTTATGTCGGTTCTCTTCCTAACCTTCAGTGTCCCTCCTTCCGGAAGGTGCCCTTCTCCTCTCATCTCCTCTTCCTCCTGAAACTGGGTAATATCTTCTTACACACTGACAGATTTTTTTTGTATTGGGTTTAGTTGGTGGGAGGACTGTTAGCAGTAGAATCGGGACAGGACGCGGTGATAAGGGAAATGTTGTACGAGAAGGCACGGCTCAGAGTGGTACCATATGGAGTAACAGTTGCTGCATTCACGAGCAGAATATCGAGCCTTAGGAACAGATTGGGAAAGGCCGGCAGCTCCAAGGACGAGGGACTCATCGTAGAAAGAGAAGGCAGAGTGAGGGGGAATGTGCTGGTAGGGGACGAGTTCTCCCTCGCTTATGCCAGAAGCCCTGAAGAAATCCTGAGGATAGTGTATGGAAGTGGGAATGAGAGTGTTGTTGGTGGCTTTTTCCCTCGTGGATGTGACGGCAAAGTCGCCCGCTCTTACCTGCCCCCCGCTCTACACTGATTACTTGCTCTTACTAGGCTTGGACTCGTGCGAATAAAAGAGACGCTCTTTTCACTTTCTTGGTAAAAATCTTCGTCTTTACCGTTGGGAGAATCAGCGGACTGAGAACATCTGTCCTGGTCTCACTTGATACAAAAGAGAACACAGCATAAAACACTACCGCTACCACTAACACAGCAGCACGTACATCAAATATAAACTACATGAAAAAACCCCTTCTTCCTTCATCCACAACCCTTCTTTTGTTTCGAAATGTATTTCACATTTTCAGGAAGCAGGGTCTCAACTCCGCAATTTGTGCCTAACAACTCTGGATCGTGTCAAGTTTGAGCTACCTCTTCGATGGCCTCTCATCATCATCATTGTCTTTGTCATCATCATCATCATCATCATCATCATCATCATCATCATCATCATCATCATCGTCATTGGCAGCTCTCTTCCGCTTGGGTGGTGGAGCCTCAGATTTCCCAGGAACATCATCGCCCTCTTCTTCATCCTCTTCATTGATGTCATCTTCCTCCACACCATTCTCATCCTCAGGTTCAAAATCACTCGCATCTTCTTCGTCTTCCGCCCGAGCAACCGGCCTCACTAGGTACTCTGTCCCTAGATCCTCCTTCACGTTCCATATGTTCATCACCACCACACCACATGTTTTCCATTTAGATATTTCAAGCAAACAATTCTAACGCATTACAAAAACAAGTATACATATGGGCATATTTCGCTTAAATGGATCAATGAAATCATCAAACACACTCATATGATACATGCATAAAATTCAACTTCTCTCATTTAGTGAGCAACCAAACAGAGCAAGTAATTACCACTAGAATTTTCTTTGATTCAGAGGAAATATACAGGCAGACACACGGACACGAGCCAAGCCAAGAAATAAAACAGGTATAAGGCGTACTTTATAGTACAACAGCCCAGGAAAGTTCCAAGATTTTCCTCCATTTTCGTCTGATCTAAACTTGAGTTCATGTTTCCTGGTTTTCTAAGCAATAGAACAGAAAAATGTGTAGCCTTTTGACAGTTTCTAAGAAAATTTACCCACTTTCCCTTGTTTTTAAGACCAAAGAAAGGGTAAAGCCTGCATTGGGGTTCAACAGGTCGGTTAAAATTTCAGCAGAAGCAAGAAAATTTTCAGGGGATTCATAGCTTCTTGTAACTACATATAAGGTAATAAGGTCCAGTCTACTCCCACGAAAAAGTCGGTCTCTTTTTTCAATGAACAGCATAATTTGAAGCTAAAGAGGCGCATAAAACCCTAGATCTAGAACTTTTGCATCCTAAACCAATTTATGCAGGAGAGGGGGAAAAAACGGACGGAAGAAGCTGACACCTATTAGATTCAAATTTCACTATCATACCTCTTCTTCACCATCGTCTTCATCGTCGTCGTCGTCGTCGTCGTCGTCGTCTCCATCGCCATTCTCGTCACCTTCTTCCCCCTCGTCGTCTGCCGATTGTATCGGCGGCCCACCGGAGGAGTGCCTCACCTTCATCACATCTCTGTCATCGTCGCCTTCACCATCTATTTCCTCATCATCGTCGTCGTCTTCGTCTTCATCTCCTTCACTTCCGTCTTCGCCGCCGTCGACTTCTTCTCCGCTTTTTGATTCTTCATCAAAGTCGTCATCGCTGCTCAGAACCTGAACCTCAGGTTCCTCCTTGACCTCTTTACCATCTTCAATTAGCGTCATCTTACCACAGAAGAAAAATTCTCCCAGAAAATTCGTAACTTTTTCGATAGAGAAGGGGAGTGAGGGAGAAAGAGAGAGAGTGGCGAGTGGCGAGAAGGTTCGACCAACTCTAGCAGAGAAATCTAATCTCAGCCGTTCAGTATGACATTCACGCGGATGGATGACATGGCACCGGAGAACACAACGTGGTTTTTGACTTTTGTCCAGAGGAATGATATTCCGTCCCGTCGCACCTCTGCGGCGGTGCCGGAGAATCTATCTATATCTATTAATAAAGATGTTTAAAGTATTGTGATGAAACCACGTCATCATCCTATGTGACACATTTTCAAATTTTGATTGGTTTATATGGTTTACAAATTTATGGTATTGTATTGACATATAAAATAATCAATAAATTGAATTAGTTTTATATATTAAATTAAATTTATGAGAAAATTATGTTTAAATTTATTTTTATTTTTCTCACATAAAAATCTATATCTATGTTTTATTTTTATATATTAAATCTATATATATTAATAATTGTAACTTATGTGAAAATAAAAAACAAACTTTTGTATTTATTTTATTTTTATTTTTCTCACATAAAGATATTTTTTTGTTTTATTTTTATATATTAAATCTATATATATTAATAATTGTGTTTAAAGAGATTTAAAAAACTTATGTGAAAATAAAAAACACACTTTTGTATTTTACGTTAATGATGATTTTAATAATAATTTATGTTATGGTGTAATAAAAAGTATGAATAATGAATGATAATATTAGAAAATATTTTAAGTTACGGTAATTGGAAAGGTATCAAATAATAAAAAAATATTAATATAGATTTTAATTTTTATTCTCTCTTGACACATGTGCAACCGATAAGTCACTTCCACTTACCTATATATATATATAAAATTTGCTTCCTTCCCATCTTCACAGCTTTTATGTCATGTCTTTTGCATATAAATTCGAAATAGATCATGAGAAAACAAACCCATCGAACAGATAAGAGCAGCAACTCGGAATGCGAACACGAGACCGAGGTTTAAGATGACATGCTTCCGATGATGGCAGAGAAGATGGAAGTGGAGGAATTCGTGTCGGAATTATTCAAAGGGTTTAAGATGTTAGTTGATGCTGACAGATATCTAATAACGCCCTACAGTCTGAGGGTAACCTCTGCGATAGTGGCCATCCAAGAGGTGATGAGCATCGATGATGCGGAGGCTATTTATGGTCAGAGAAGAGAAGGAGACATTGACAGAGATAGAGCTCTCAACTAGATCCAATTCTGCATTCTCATGGTGAGGCCGAGTCTCGGTATGATGGATGATGTCAAACTTGGTTCGAGAAAGCAATCAGCCAAGTACTCTCCTCCTCTCTTGATCAACAACCCCTCTCCCCTTAACAGGAGAGGAGTGTATGCTACTCATTAGGGGTGGGCACGGATCGGATATCCGGAGTTTTTCAGATATTTGTATCCGTATCCGATCCGTACAAATATCATATTTTGTTATCCGTATCCGATCCGTAGTTTTCGGATATCCGCAATTTCGGATATTCATAAAAACTACGGATATTTGTGAATATCCGTATCCGACACAAAAATAATAAAAAAAAAATTAAATTAAAAAACTAAAACAAAAATAAAATATATAATCAATCAAATTCAAAATACATAACATAAACATTCTAAATCAAACCAACAACAAACATAATCATAATTCATCGAATACAAATATATGTAGCATATGTTGAATCTTCATGAAAAATCTGTTTTATTCTTTTTTCTTTCCATCATTGTTCTTATTTTCGTCCTTTTATCATGTCTTCTTAGACCGAATATGTCCATCATCCGTCTTGTTCCTCTCCAATTCCTGATCTATCCGAAAATAACTCCGTCGGTCTATTTGATCTCTCTCTCTCTCTCTTGAATCGTTTACTTATATAGAGAGTAGTTTCCATGGAAATCTCAAGAACGAGCAACAACATAAAGAGAGAAATGTTGGAACCTGAAAAGAGAGAAAGAGGCGAATCGGCAATGGGGCGTGGAGGATTGGGGAGGACGGAGGTGGGGAAGCACCGCCGGAGGAGAGCGGAGCGACGGAGCTCTCGTAGCGGCGGAGGTAATGGCAGAAGAAGAGAGAATTAGGGAAGACTGCGAGAGAGAGAGAGTGAAAGCGGCAGGAGAAGAACTCACATTTCACAAAACCCTAACTTAAATTTTTTTTTTATAAAATTACCCTTACATATAAACTAATTACAAAATTAGCCATATATTATTAATATTACTAAAAAGTACGGATCGGATCGGATATATCGGATATTTTTATTTTGATATCCGTATCCGATCCGTATCCGACAAATATTTTGAAACCAATATCCGTATCCGATCCGTGGATTCCGGATATCCGAATTTTCGGTTCGGATACGAATCGAATAACGGATCGGATCGGTTTTTTCGGATATTATGCCCATCCCTACTACTCATCATCTATTTTTTATGTATCTTTTTTTACATAAATTGTTGTGACAGTGTATATTATATAAATCCACAATCCATAAGATTTTATTATAATGCAAGTATTAATCAATCAATCACATACATACATACATACATACATACATACATACATACATACATACATGCATACATACATACATATATACATACATACATACATATATACATAATATATTATATAAACAGTATAGTTTTTGAAAAATTATATTAATTAATTTTTTTATATACTTATTTTGACACAATATGTATAATATTAGTTCTAATAACAATTGAGATTTTGATTGATATATTAAAATTAAAATGTATTAGAAAAATTTTAAATTTAAATAATTGGATAATTCTTTTAATATATGATTTTATTTAAATGTAATTTTATGTCAATATATGTTTAATGTGTTTAATTTAATAATATATTAACAAATAAAAAAGATAGAAGAATAAATTTAAAATAAAATGAAATTCACGCGACACCACCAGATCTGATAGAATAAAAAATAATGAGAATTTGAAATTCATATTTTAACTCGAACTTAACAGGTGTTTCACAAATGACTGACGTACCATCCGTAGCGGAGATGGAGCGGCGAGAGGTAGCGACATGACTTTCTGGGTGTGCAAGCAAGGATTCGATTCCAAAGTAATCGAGAGAATCTTCGAGAATTAGAATTCGATGGTGAGATATGGTTGAGATTGTCAAGCCGGACGATCCACATGCAAGAATGATCGATTTCTATTTTAAAGTCAAAATATCCATAATATTTTTTCTGAGTTCATGATAAAGATAAAAAAGTTATATATTTATTATTTGTAAATGTTTATTTGTTATGGAGACTACGCCGCAGAGATTGTAAAATTATTCTTTTTATTTTTTCCAAAGCAAGTTGAATGAAAATTATTCTTATTATTTGTAAATATTTGTAAACGAAGAGATTTTATAAAGAAAAACAAATTGAGATAAAGACTTGCAAAGTATTGATAGTATCGAAGAAAATGAGTTACAAATGAGAAAACTAGATGATGAAGATTTTCATCCATATAGTTCTGCTGCTCAACTAATTTTTCCGTTCTTTTTTTTAACGAAGTGACCTTGATTTGTTTTGATTCTTACCATTTTTAGGGATTTTTTTGGTTGTTTAAATCTAAGTTTCCATTTAATTTTCTTTTCTCTAGAAAGCGGGTGGTACAAGTTAACAATGAACGGTTGAAGTTTGAGATTATCACCATATTATCTCGAAGAAACATTTAACTATTTGATTTCACATTTTTAAATTTGGTATTTTATTTTTGGATTCCGATTTCACAGCTATATATTATTTCAATTATGCTTTGGTATAACTTTATGATTATAGAATTTTTAATGGGATACTTTTAAAATTACATTAAGGAAATGATGTTGACACAAAACTAGAGATAAAGGATGAACATAAATATATATTAATTAAATGATTCTAATTGATTCCAATATACAATTAGAATCATTTAATTAATATATATTTTTATAATATAAGATAGGCATTCATTTTATCCATGAGACCTAAAAATAATATATTATCCATGAACCATAATCCATGAGACCTAAAAACAATATAAGAGAGGCATTCATTTTATACCTATCATTTTATACAACCAAATGATATTTTTATAAGGCTTAATAATTTTCATTGTAATTTATCATTTTTTTAATTAGAGAGGGGACATGTAGCCCCACCCTTCACAATATAGATATGCCACTGGCCATAATGCATATTTGTTTTCATGGAGTGCATTTTTTATAATGTTTTATGTGACATATGGTCTAACAAAAATGTATTAGATGTAAAAATATTTTTTTGAAATTTACGATTTGTTTGTTCGAATATTATTTGTTTCACTTATTTTTCTAAATCAGATTTTATTATGATAGATGGTTTTGATATAGTCCTATAAATCTATACAAGTTGTTCTATCTATGAACTCAAACTTAAGAGATATAAAATTTGCATCTATTGTTTTTGGTCATTAGATTTTTGAATATAATTGTATTATTTGATAGTGCCTTCTACAAAATATTCATTAAAGTAAACAATAAACTTTTAAAATGATTAAAAATTATTATAAAATTAAATTAAAAAAACGTTTTTAATAATTTTAATTAAGTTATGGGTAGTGGGTAATTAAATAATAGTAAATACATATGAAAGAGAAAAAGCTTGAGCCGCCTCCTTCTCTTCCGTCGTCGCAGCAAGAGATCGATATATAATCTAAGAAGAATTAAGAGAAAGCGAGCAGTGGGTCTATATCGAGAAGAAAGTGAACAATATAATGTTGATTTGAAAATAAATAATTTTACATATTATTTATATATCTATATAATAAAAATATTCATATCAATACATTCTACAAAAAATATAATAAATTTGAAATATGTTAAACTATAGATGTAAAACTAAATATCATCAAATATATAGATTTAATAATTTTAAAAACGAATCATAACTACAATATTTAATAATATCATTTTAATTAGTAACTTATTACAAAAAAATTTGTATAGATCCGGAAAACACAGTGAGAACCCAATAACAAATCAATGACATAAAAATTAAACATACGATAAATCTATTTTTATTAAATAGTAAACAATAATGGTTTTACAATATTTAAAATTTATCGATAAATTCTGCCTACATTAAAAAAATCATTTATATCATTTTACAATATTTATATTAACAAATTTTATAAAAAAAAAATATGAAACATATTCATCGCAATGCATAGAGAAAGACACATATCTTTAATATATAATGAATATTGATGATTTTACAATAATTTTATATTATTGATATAGTTTTATTCTATAATAAAAATAATAATTTATTTAATTTTTCAAATTATATAACAATATATTTCAAAAACATAAATGAAATATAATGAAGAATAATCCGCGCATCGCGCGGATCCTTATCTAGTAAATAAAATAAATGAGGGAAAATCGCCAAAAAAACTCTTTACTCTTCAAATATCGATAAAAAAACTCTATTTTTTTATTATAAAAAAATCCTGTACATTTACGTTTTAGCAGAAAAATATATATACTTTGTAAATATTAATAAATTCAACTTCACCCCCGAATATCGTTAAAATTCAGATGAAAGTATGAGGTGGCAACATTAAAATGCCACATAATCTGATATGTGGCTGCCATGTAGACTATAAACCGAAATTATTAACCAAATTAAAAATTACATCAAACCGAATCTAATTTCTAAAAATCTATCATTTTAAATTAAAATCATTAAAATCACCTTCCAATCTGAAAAACGACGGACCAAAGCCCTAATCCTAAAAAACATTTTGCATAGCTTCCTTAAAGTCTTCACCTGTGTCATTTTATACACAGTGGAATGTTTTCCCAATAAATTATCGACATTCGAAGACTACATAATTTTTTTTGCCATTTTCCCAATAAATTAAAACAATTTATCAATTATTATCTTTCTTTCGTGGGAGTCACGCGTGAGGCACGTGAGAGAGATAAATGGGCCCTAGATAAGGCCCGTTTAGGCATCCTGAAACGATCCGAAAGTCAACAAATATTTCTAAATGTATATGCATACATATTCATTATAAAAATAATTACAATGTACAAATAAAAACAAAAAATAGATGGATTTTAACGTAATCCAACACACCACAAGACTGGAATATATATATTTATAATTCGGAAATTCACTGGATCTTTGGTCCGACTACATCTCCCAGAGGACCAGAAAAACCCAGGTGAATACTCTTCTCCACGCTTCGGTTTGAACCCAGAGTGAACTTTGTATGTTCTCTCACCACTAGATCATCTAAACTTGAGTTGTCATATATATTAATATATATATATATATATATATATGTACAAAAGCATTTTAAATGATTCTAATGAACTATTCGACAAGGTAAAATTATTCCGAGGATATGTCGATAGCGACGGCCGCTAGACCTTATAACATCTTTTATTTATATATAAAACTACTGAAAGGAGGAGAAGACACGTGTAAAAAATATATTTATATATATGTATTTAATGTTAGAAGTTAATGTTAGTCAATGAAAGAGCAAAAGACTGCTAAAATATTCTGGAATGAAAATACATGAACCAAATAAAATTTCTAAATAGACAACACCATTCCCAATAGATATTTAATATATTAATTTATTTTATTTTAAAAGTTTACTGACTTTGTTGTGTATATATATTTCTATATATATATATATATAAGTACAGTTACTCCCAAAGGAGTGACACGTGTACAAATCCATTTCTTAAAAGAATGAATTTTTCAGTCAATACTGTGAAATCTATTTAATCTATTTAATTGTCCTAATTTTTATAATTACATTCATTTCCATTCTCATTCATGTATCCACGTTATATTCTATTTTGTTTTCAAATCCAAGACATTGCATTAATGCATTCTATGTCAATTCTATGTTTCTTTCATCTCACGTTCTTTTTTTACTTTTATAATAATATTATATGTTATATACTTTTTAACCTGTTTTTTTAATTAAATGTGTCGATATATATATATATATATATATAATACGACGTTTACCAAACATAAAATATATAAT